TACTTATTACTCGATATATATTGATTAACTTTGAACCAGAAAAAAATATCAATCCTGACACAAACACACACTGGTTATGATTTTTTGTTTTTTGTTTTTGTTTTTTCATTGTATCAATCTAATATATTTATTAATAATTGATTCATGTATCAATTTTTTTTGTTTTGCTTTCTTTCTTGCTTTGTATAATCAAATCAAAGATCAAATCACATATTATTATTATTTTGATTTTGATTCTATATTCTATATCGTGTCGGTGTTTGTAATGATAAAGATTATAATAATAATAAACGAATCAAATCGAATCAAATCGAATGAATCGTAAATGAATAATGAACATCTGCGAAATGAAATTGATAAAATGAAATTTGCAATAGTGTAATGTACGATCAAATATGACAGTGATATGATCTTTAACCTTCAGTTTTTTTTTCTGACAAAGTTCATTATTAACTAACTATTTATTTGATTAGAAAAAGCAAAAAAGACTTTTATTATTATTCTTGATGATTTTCATCAATAATCACACATTTATTTCATTTGAAGAATTCTAATTTCAACAACCAACAAAAGAAAAGAAGAAGAAAAAAACTAATCGAGTGCAAGAAATGCTAATTTGTTTTAAATGTTTGAACCGAACTGAACTGAACTGAATGGAACAAAATTAAAAGGTTTTTTCTTTCGAAAAAAACACAATGTTATGAATAGAGGAGTATTGTATGTTCATTATATGGATGTGTTATGTTTTCATTTTGGAAAATGTTTTTCTTTCTTTCTTTACATCATTTTTTTTTTGTTCACATTGACATTAATCACTAAAGACAAGATGCAAATATAACCAAACAAAAAAAGCAGATATTCCTTTTTGTTGTTGCTATAATGCAACAACTAAAAGAAAGTGTAATCAAATTCTTTTTTCGATTCCAGATCTTTACAAATACATATGAGAATACAGTAAAAGAAAATTTTTTATATTTTTATTGATCCATTTGTTTTGTTTTGTATTTGCTTGTTATGATTGTGTTTGAAAAAAAATGAATGAATGAATATTCATACATTCTATTCTTTCCATACACCCAGATAAGTTAACCCCACGATGAAATAAGAATCAATTGAATTGCATGAATCGAAATAGAAATATTTTGGAAAGCTTAATTGAAATTTTTTTTTTCAATGGAATTCTTTGTCTTTTTCAATATTGTTTTGTTTTGCTTTGTTTTGCCTTCTATTACATGTCTGTTGATACAAATCAATTTGCTGGTTTTTTCTGGTTTTCTGATTGATTCAAATTCTTGTGGTCTGAAACAAAAAACAATTTGCCAGCATATTTTGGCTTTGGCATTCATCATTATTATTTTTGACAAAATTCTTTACATTATCATCATTATTGTAACCTTTATATCTTTAAACGAGATAAATCTTTATGAAAAACATGATAGAAACAATCAAAATCAAAAACTGTATTTGCAAAATATTTGATTTTGATTTTTTTTTCTTACTTGTCTATTTTGTTGTCTACTTAAAAAGGATAAAACAAAATTTTTTATTTTGTTTCTCCCTATAGGATTATGTTTTTTGCATATTAAATGAAATAGGAGGTTATAGGAGAATTTAATGAAAAGCAGTAGAATTTCTTTTCTTTCTTTATTCTTTTTAACAAGTTTAAACAGTGAAAAAAATATAGAAGAAAAAAAATCATCATCATCCTCATCAATGTGTAAAACGTTAACAGATTTTATTTTTCCACATGAATTTTTTATTTCATTTTTTTTTTCTTCTTTATATTCTTCTTCGCTTCTTTTCGAAATATATTCGCATGCATTGTATGTAGATCTTTCTGTCTGTTTGTCTCTCAGTATGTGTGTGTGTATAGAATAAAATAATTACAATAGCTTTGAAGACAAAGTAAAATATAAAAAAAAAAGATAAAAATTCCTTACATCTTCTGAACAAAAAAAAAGTTTCCCAATTTCATTATCTTCAATGTCATTGATGATGTTACACATCGTATAACGCTATTGAATCATTTTTAAAACAGTTTACGGAAATATTTCTGACAGAACGAAAAAAAATGAAAACGGTAAACGCACACGCACAAAAATCATTGGACTATCATTATTTTTTTCTCCCATATATATTGTATATCACACAAACAAAGGTATTCAACTTTTTTTTTCATGCATGCATGAAAACAGAAAAAAAACTTTTGATGTCTGGTCGATTTTATTCATATTAAATCGATCATATGATGACGATGATCACCATCTTTTATAAAAGAAGGACAAAATAAAATGAGTTCACCATATATACACACACACACACACACATTAATATCCAAATGAATCTAATAAACACAAAACGACAATAACGATTTGTATGAAATTGAAACAAAAAAAAAAATAAAAACGATTCGTTTTTATTTCGTATAAAGTGAGTGAGAGAGAAAATAAAAATCCATTCTTGAATAGCATCACAATAATGTTGATAATGATGATGATGAATTTTGGCAGAGAAGCTCACTTTTTTTGTATGAAATTTTTGTTTAAATGGCGTAGGAAATTCTTCACACATACATTTTAACAATCCATCCAAAATATTATCATAGAAAAAAATTTTCAATAAACATACCTCCCCCTGATATATGCTATAAAATTTTGTTCACGATGATGACAATCATTTTTTTTTTCTTCTCCCTTTTTTTCCATTACATAGCCAAATTAATATGCTTTTTATCATTCACAACAAATGATCAGGGATCAAAAAATAAAAAATAAAAATGGATAAAAAATCAATAAATTCTGCTAGCTACCGATTATTATTATTATTATAAACAATAAATGAGAGACGTGCTATAGACTAATCTTGGCCATCATCATTATTATTATTATGAATCATTGTTGTTTTATGTACAAATTCATACAACAACAGCAACAACAACGATAACAACGAAAAAACCAGCCCAGAAACATTGACAAATTGAGACATGACTTTCACATGAAAGTTTTAACATCATCCAACTTAAAGCCTAGCTCTAACAATGGCTAAATAAAAATTTTTTTTGTGGTCTCCGGAGAGAGAGAGAGAGAGCAAAAGCAAATGCGAATGCATCATGCATACAGAATATCTTGAAAGACGAATGTATCTTATAACTGCATTTTTTTATTATTTTTTCTTCTTTTTTGTTGATCACATACGCTAAATGGTGACTCAGATGTTTCTTGTTTGCTTGCTTGCTATTACTTAGTTAGTTAGTTATGATCCAAAAAAGTATATCCTTTTTCTTTTTCTTTTCTTTTCTTTGGAATCGTTTGATTCACTATCTGTTCGAATCTGTTGTTATAATAGGTATGTAATAATCTAGAGAAAAATACCAGATGATGGATGGATGGATGAAGATCGCTTATTTTCCGCTCTTTACATTTGACACAGTTTTTTCTTTGTTTTGTTTGTTTGTTTGCTGTAAGAGTCTGGGTGTATTTTGTATAATGCATCTTATTCGACAATATTGGTTTTGCTTTCAATTGTGATCGTATTTTTGTTTGATCCATATTTTTTTCCCATGAATAGAATGTCATTGGGTACGTGAAATGAGAGAGAGTGGGAGAGAAAACGATCTGCTCTGACCTGATTCTTGATTGAGTTTCTTTATCCACTTCTTTTCATTCTTCTTCATAAAATTCTTTTTCCAGTGTAAATAGCTTAAGCAGCAATTTTCGTTTTTTTTAGTTCAAATCGTTTGAATTCAGGTTTTTAAAAGCAAATATCACGATATTTTCATTAAACAAAATTTTGGCCCTCGGCTTTTACATACAGAATATACATTTTTTTCTAATCAAATTCTTTGATAGACTTTTTCTGGCAAAAAAATAAAAAAATAAATAAATAATCCACAAAAAGCTAAAGTGAAATCGAAATATTTACCAAGACAAAAACTAAAAATATTTGTTGTCCAAACATGGTCATTTTGGTATTCAATTTTTTCCCTAATAATTCCTTTTCTATATTTTGTTTGGTCTAGTTATTGGCTTTCTTTTCTTATTTCTGAGACATTATTGAAAAACTTATTATTATCTAATCACATACAATAATATTTCGAAAAAAATAATGCTTTTTTTTCTTTGCTGGCTTATAATAATCCACAAAATTCTAGTTTGATTTTGTCTTGTTGTTGATGATGATAATGTTGCTGGTTCCATACCCAAGTTGTTTTATCTTTTTTTCCTTTCTAAAACTGTCAGATTGAAAAAAAAGACTGTAAAATGAATTCATTCTCGATCTTTTCTTGTTATTTTTTTTCTAGAAATTTTTTAATTTTATAAAATAAAAATTATAACCAAAAAGAAATTGATTAAATTAGTGGCAAAAAAATATTGTTTGTTTCAATTATTTTATGTGTTGTTGTGTGTTGTTGATGTCAAATCAAAATGAAAACTTGTTTTTCCAGTAATAATAATAAAAAAGTCTATACATACTTTGACAGGTACATGAGAGGTAAATAGTGAGAGTCAGTTTTTCTTTCTCTATTCATCTAGAATAGAAAATTCATTCTCAATAAATCATTCAAGATTCTTCTTCTGTTTATTTGTTTGTTTGTACAAGAAGAAAAAAAGTTTCGATTTTTCTTCTCGTTTTTTTTTTGATTTTGTCATTTCATTTCATCTGTACCATTGAAAGAGAGAGAGAAAATAATGATCGATAGACATTTTTGGATTTCTGTTTTTCAGTTTCTGTTTCTGTTTTCATTTGATTTTGATGTTTATTTATTTTATTTTATTATTGTTTTTAGCTTAGCTTAACATTCTTTGTTGCAACAATTGATTTGTTATCAAATTAGATGAAAAAAAATTATTAAATTTAATTATTTTGTTTGTTTGTTCGCTGAAACAAGTTAATAAGTTTTTTATAATCATCAAAATCCTTTCAAAAATAGATATTTTTGTGATAAAATCGATTCAAACAAAATTTTTTTATCATTGACCAAACAAATATGTAAACAACAAATGAAAAGTACACAGGTTTCAAGTGTGTTTATCCATTGTGTGATACAAGGTACAAATAAAAAAAATGTTTTTTGGATGAACCAAAATTGAAATGTAGCCAACAAAATTGAATTGTTGCCAAAACTGAAATTTGAAAATGGAATATTTTCGTTTGTTTTTTCTCTGTTTTGAATAAATAAGCTTACCAATCATGTGTTTGTTGTAAGAAGAAAATGAATCTTTATTTTTTTCTTCTTTCATTCATTTTGAATAAAGAATAACCTTTGTTTGTTTGTTTTTGGTTGTAAATCGTCCAATGTTTATTTCGTTTGTTTGATTGAATTGAACAACAACAAAATAAAAATTCCAACATTTTCTTTCATTTACATTTGTTTTGATCCTTATTTTAGTTATGCTTTTTTTTGTTTTGTTTTATTTTACATATGCATTCATTCATTCATTTTCATGAATAATATTAGTATTTTTTGAATGAAAAAGACTTTGTTTTGTTTTGTTTTATTTGAATGAATGAATGAATGAAACTTTTTTATTTCGTGTTCATTTTTTTCTCTCTCTCATTTTCATATTGCATAATTTAGATATTGGTAATTATTTTTTTGTTTTGTTTTGTTTCATATTCATTCATTTATTGCATAAAATTGTACAGTTCACTTCATTGTAATGAGAAAAAATTTATGCGGACCATTGAAATTCTGTTGGAAAGAGAGTGAGAGAATACACAAGTGTAAATCTTTGTTTAAATTGAATTAAATTAATAACTTTCAACACTAAATAATAATGAATAGACCTAAATACTACATGCTGTGTGTAATTTTCATTAATAAAATTTAGTTGTTTTTTTTGTATTATTCTGGAAAAAAAGGGTTATAACAAATGTTTTCGAGGCCTTTTTTTCACCGTTAAACAGTATAGTGTATTTTCATTTTCAAAACTGAATTTTGTTTTTTCTTCTGCCAAAAAACTAAATGATAATTATGGTGAAAATTTACTTACTAAGTTATGATGGTCATTATTGATGTTACTTTCACTTTTTTTTACTGGAAAAGATATCTTCATTTATATATTTTTGTTTTGTTTTGTTGTTGATGAGACCTATGGGATTTATTAAGATAAATTTATCGATATACATCGATTAGTGTAACTGGGCAGAAAAAATATATTTTTTTGACATTATCTTAATACGATATAATTGTCTTTTGTTCTTCTGGAAATCTATTGCTTTAAATTTATGAAGTGAAAAGATTGTCTTCTCACTGTTGATTGGAAATTTGCTTTTTTTTTCATCCGAATAAAAATCATACAAAGATTTTTTCTCAAGAATTATTATATCCCCAAAGATATTTTTCACATTTGACAATTTTTGTTTTGTTTTTGTTTTTTTCATTATTTGAATTGAAAGTTATTGTTTGATTGGGAACAACAACAAAAAGTGTAAAGCAAACATCTAGTTTTTCTTTTGTTCGGGATCATGTTGACAAGACATAATAATATTGCGTTCATTATTATTATGAGAGATTTGTGAAAAGAAAAACAACACTAACTTTATCTGAATGTAAATTTGATCAATATAACGTGAAGAAGAAGAAGGTGAAAGAATCGAAAAAAAATTCACATTCATTTATGGACACTTATTATTATCATGATGATATGCGTGACATAATGAATAAATATTTACAAAACAAAAATCATGATGACATGAGACAATGAAAGCGGACATGGTATATCAAACAATTTTTTGTTTTGTTTGTTTGTTTGTTTTGGCAAACAAACTGGACAAAAGTTTTCAGAAGCTCTATAATTTACATAAGCTATGAATAAAGTAAAACTTTTTTGTTGTTTTGTTTTGAATAAAACTATTGAATTGAATGAAATTATTTGCTTGAATTATTTTATTGAATTGTATTTTTTTTGTTTTGTTTTCATATTTATTTATGATTAGTGATCTGTGGTTCACATGAACGACGTTTATTGAATGATTTACTAAGCAATTACAATGTACTTGAACGTCCTGTTGCCAATGAATCCGAAGTATTGATCGTTTATTTTAGCCTAACATTACAGCAAATTATTGATGTTGATGAAAAGAATCAAAATATAATCACCAACATGTGGCTTAGATTGGTATGTATTATATCATCGATCGATTTTTTTTTTCTCTACTTATTTTATAATTTTTTTTATAAAGGAATGGAATGATTCGAATCTTCGATGGTCACCCAATGATTATGGTGGTATTACCGATCTTCGAATCTCACCCGACAAAGTATGGCGTCCGGATATATTAATCTATAATAGGTAAGTAAATTTTAATGGATTTCTCTTAATATTTTCGATCTTTAAATGTTTTTTTTTTTAAATCAGTGCCGATGAAAAATTTGATGGAACCTATCATTCTAATGTGGTAGTCAATCATAATGGTAGTTGTCTTTATATACCACCCGGTATTTTTAAAAGTACTTGTAAAATCGACATCACTTGGTTTCCTTTTGACGATCAATATTGTGATATTAAATTCGGTTCTTGGACTTATTATGGATCGGCTGTAGATTTAAAATTTATAAATGATAGTACCAGTGGTGATATTTCACCATATATTCCCAATGGTGAATGGGTTTTGCTTGGTATGTGGTATCTTTATTTTCTATTTAATTGATAAGAAATTAATGATCATTCTTATTCAGGAGTACCCGGTATTCGTAATGTTCAAAGTTATGAATGTTGTCCTGAACAATATATCGATATTACTTATACAATTGGTATTCGTCGACGTACCCTATATTATGGTTTCAATCTAATAGTGCCTAGCGTCATTATTTCATCAATGACATTGCTCAGTTTTACTTTGCCACCAGATTCTGGAGAGAAATTAACATTAGGCGTCACCATATTACTCTCCATGATTGTAAGTCAATATTTGAAAAGCTTATTGAACTTAATCTGATTCATGCAACTTTATCACCAAAAAAAAAAATCTTAAAATGTTTAGGTGTTCATGATGCAACTGGCCGAAATTATGCCTGGTGAGTTTCTTGTTTTTTTTTTAAATTATAATTGAAATCGATAAAATCTGGTAGAAAAATATTTCTAAGCTTGACAAGTTTTTTTTCTTTGTTAGCCATTATAAACTTGTTCATTATTTATATTCGACCAATTTGTTTTTGTTTTTTGCTGTTGAATTCATTAATATATGTTTCATTACAATATTTTTAATCTAAATAATAATCTATAATAGTGACTTGACTGAGTAAACTATAGTACATTGTTTTTTAAAAGTATTGAGTGATGGAACAAACAACTTATGATTCGAGTAAATTCTTCACTTATAGTCTTTTCTGTTGTTGTTGTTGTTTAGGTAGAACATTTTCGTTGTTGTTGTTGTTCAACTCAGTTATATCCTGAATTCTCATTCATTCATTTGAAAAAAAAGTTATTTTCTTTTTTTCAACAATGGAAAAAAAACTGATGTTTACAAACTTATACTCGTTTATAAGCAGCAACCACACTATTGTACCCATAATGCTAGAATTTTGTTGCTGATGATGATGATGAATCATGATAAACAGACAATTTTGAAAGAATAATAATAAACTCTCTTGAAAAAAAGTGATAAAAAAATGTGCTTTCTTTATAACAAAGAAAAAAAAACGGAATCGTTTAGCCGTTTAATAAAATAGATTTTCTTTTCGTTGTTAAGATGCACTAACAAGATAGTGATATTTAGTTTTATAAAACTTGGATGATGATGCCATAGGATATTCGACTTGACGTTATTCGACCATACGATCCACTTAACATTATTATTATTTCTTTAGAGTTGTTGTTGTTCATCATTTTACGATTCAATCATACTTAGTATGTAGAGGGTTGATTGTTGTTGTTCTTCAAGAACCGCTTATATCGCTTGTACAATCATGATGATGATGATGAGGGGCTATCTTGAAAACATAGACATAGACATTGCCCATATTTTCATATCACTTAAATAGGTTTTTTTTCCATCTTCTCCAAGAAACCATTTTTTTCACTAAACAAAAAAAAAATTATGAGTAAATCAGTTCCTTTACAGGGTGTTTGTCAATTTTGTTCAAACACCTTGTTAATGTAGTTTACCTTTTATACTAAACAGAAGCAAAAAAAAAATTCTTTTTTGTGCTATGATTTCAATCTTTTGCAAAACTAAATTCTGAATGCTTTTATCATTTTCAATCTTTTTATTAAATTTACTTCTTTTTTTCTCTCTCTCATTGAAATCAGCTACATCGGATTCCGTTTCTATTGTTGGTAAGTGAATTGTGTTTTTTTATCTTTTTTTGAAAAAAAACTTAATTGATCCAATCTTCGTCCGTTTCAATTTATTTTTTTTACAATTTAGGATCTTATTTCGCTTGCATTATGGTCATGGTTGCCTTCTCTGTTGTTATGACTGTAGTTGTGCTCAATTTTCATCATCGAACCACTGAACAACAACAAGAGATGCCTTACTGGGTAAATATATCAAATGATTTATAAATTGATTGTGTTATGATTATTATTTTTTTGCTGAATTTTCAAAAAAAATAAAATTGATAGATACGAAAAGTAATTGTCACCTGGCTACCATTAATTTTAAGGATAAAAAAACCACCAGAATTGCTTCGTTGTGAACAACAAAGAAAACAGAATAAATCAACCGGTAACTTACATACACAGTATCAGGCCTATTGCGCGACGAATAATCCATACCAAAATCAGAATCATGTGCCATCCGATACTTGGAATAATCCATGTACTACTATTAATAATCTCAATTCTACATGGATAGCCAATCGTTTCAATACACCATCATCACCTACACATTTAGAATTGATACGTTTGACTGAAAAGATGAAAGAATATGAATCATTATGCCATAAACGTGGTTGTGTCCATAGATCTCAGCAGCAACAACAACAACAACAGCCGTCTAATTTTGATCCAATCAATCAACAACCAAATGGTTGTGGAACAATAAGTGGAATTTGTCCATATGCTTACTCTACATATCCGCCGCCCCCGGGTCATCATCATCATCATCCTCATCAATCGCCATCAACAATGGATGAACAATTTATTGGACAACAACAACAACAACAACATCGTCGCCAGTGTAGCGGATTGTTAGCTTCAGATGAAGCAATCCATCATTTTGATCGGCAAAGTCAGCAACAAAATTATTTTCAACTTCAAAACAATGATGCTGTTTATATTCAACAAAATCCATGTTGTTGTTGTACTTGTACCGGAACTGGATCACATCAAACAATCGATTATTTTAATTCAATAATGCAAGAGCTTCGTTTCATAACCAATCGTTATAGACGTGAAGATGATCTAGCTGATATAATCAGTGAATGGAAATATGCCGCCATTGTTATTGATCGACTTTGTTTGATTGTGTTCAGCACGTTTGCCGTACTGTCATTAGTTATATGTTTAGCATCAGCTCCACATTTGTTAGCCTAAACAAAACTTTTTTTTGATTGATAAAAATCTGTTCATTTATAACATTATTGCCATTTTCATCAATATTGTCTTGTATTTTTTTTTCTTCGTCTTGTAACAAAGTGATTGATCATAAACCGCGATAAACTTCTAAATACTGAATGTCAATATTGTATACGTTATTTGGTATATTACTTTCGACAAATATTAAAAAGTATTGAATCTCGTATGACTGATCGATATATAAAAAAAACATACCTAATTATTGACTTGTTTTCTTCCTGGCTATTTAATTATATATTTTATCATTTCATTATATAAAAAAAATCGCCAATTCCATTATCATCATTCATTACAACGATTTTTTTTCTTTTTTTCTTTCATTCTCATTAAGAACTATAAGAATTTTATTTAGAAATTTATGAGTCTAATCCAAAACAACAAAAAAAACTGTTAGTTCTGTTCTTTGGATTTGTTGTTTTTTCCCACAATATCTTCAGCTCATATATACATACGTTGACATATAACAGAATATATTCTATAGTTTGAATAGAATTTAACATTGTTCAAAATCGACATGTGCATTGCCTGTTTTTCATTGTCTTTGTTTAAATTTTTTGTTTTGTTTTTTGTTTTTCGTTTTTAGATCTTGATGCTGCCGTTTTGTTTTGTTTTGTTTTGTTGTTATTATTATTATTATTGTTGTCAACTGCTCTGTGAATCCCAACTTCCATTCAATTGTTATCCATTTCCTTTTTTGCTCATTATTTTTTTATATCTGTTTTTTTCCTTTTCCTCTCTCTCTCTCTCTCTCTCTCTCTCTTCGCTTTCAATATGATTGTAATATATATTTTTTGTTTTGTTTTTCTGTTTTTTGTTTGGTTTCGTTTTATCATTGTGAAAAAAAAGTGGTGACAAAAAAAAATGAAACAACAAATCAAATCGAATGATAATAAAATAATATTTAATAAAAAATAAAAATAAAAATCTAGTTCTATTGAACCAAAGAATTTATAATACAAAAAAATAAAATAAAATCAACACCTGTCAAAAACTTTATTTTTTGGAAAAAACAAAAACAAAGGAGAATTCATACGATCACAATGTCTACATGTCATTCATTCATTTTTGGTTAATATCGATTCAAAACGGAATGGAAATTTATCGTTTTTTCTTGGTTTTTTTTTTATTTCTGTCAAATTCACTTTCGTGACCTTCGATTCAATTCAATGTGTCTGTGTGTGTGATTTAATTTGATTATTTGAATGAAAGCTTTATAAACCGAAGATTTTCACGCACGATCCATTGGATTTTAGATTCACGAAAATACAGAAAAAACAACAACATTATCCTGCTGCTTGGTGCAATGATGATAAAATTTGTGAAAATTGTTTTATTCCTTTATTTCAAGTAAAAACAAATACTCAAAAGAAGAATTAGCAAAACAAAACCAAAAAAAAAAGTTTTTTTTTCGCATCCGATAGTTAACCCGTAGGCCAAATAATAATAATAATAATATTGCATATAATCTATGACAGAATCGATTTGAATTTTCAATTTGAAAACGTTTTTTTTCAAACAACACTTCGTTCATTTGACATGATATCTCAAAACAAAATTAAATTAAATCGAACAGGTTTATCAACAATGAAATGGGAGAAAGAATAACACTCATCTTAGCGATTCTATCAATTGTCGTCTTTGTGAATGTTTGGAATTTTTTTTTTTTTTTTTGAATCGGTTCAAAGTAGGATTTTCTTTTTGTTTTCACCAAATCATAAGGGGAAAAAATATAATAATAATAATAATTGAAGAAATATTACGATTATGGTAATTAGAAAACTATTTATAATAAAGAATATAAATATTAATTGCACATAACAAATACATTATATTTTGGAAAAAATTCACAAAACATTAAGGATTCATCATATATTTTCGGTGTTTTGTCATTATTCCTTTTTCCCCTCTCAATTCTATTTCGGTATGTAAATCTTGATTACCTCTACCCATCTTTGTATTATTCATGTTTAGAAATAGTAGAGAGAAAAAAAAATTCAACCCAAATCAAATATTTGAACAAAACAGAATTGAAAATAAGTTGAACTAAAAGGAAAAGGAAAGGGTTTCTCGATGATGATGATGATGATTTATTATATACATGAGCTGCCATTATATTTTAATAAAATTATACTTATATTTTTTTTCATTGTGATTACGTCATTTTCATGATAAAGAATAATGGATATTTCTTTTTTTAAAAAATTAATCAGCAACAAAAAAGGATTATTTTAGATAAAGATGTCTTATTTTATTTTTTTTGAATTATTTTCGATAATTGTAATCATTTTCACTTGGATGATAGATTTTTTTTCAACAAAAAAACTGTCAGGATTTTTTTCAACGGGTGAATATAATAATGCGAAATTTTCCTCAAAAGGTGAACATATGAATGACACATGGGCAAATTAATCGATTGAAAAATTCGGAACGTGGCAAATTTTGTTATTTTAAAAACCGCTATTTTTTTATGAATAAAATTATTGTTTGTTGATTCTTTGGATTCTTCAATTTCTTTTCTGCCAAAACCATTTCATGGGAAACAAGGAATCACCGCTGTTTGTTTTTTGTTGTTGTTGTTGTTGTTCTTTGGAAAAGATTCGAATTTCAATTGAATAAATAAAAGTTTCTTCATGTATTAAATTGAATTGTTTGTTTGTTGTTTTCAGAGATTAAATATCTTTATTGATAACTAACCAATATCATTCAACTTCTTTGTGGGAAAAAAAACAACGGTAATTCTTTTATTCTGTTATTCTGTATTTGGTAAGAATTTTTTTTCCCGAAAAAAACAACTTTTTCTTGTTAATAATTATGTCGATGGAATTTGTTATTGGATGATTGGTTATCCAAATCAGTAATATGAGAAGAATTCTAGGTTTTTTAATCAAAAAAACAAAATGTTTTGACGGATTTTCATGATTTTATTTTTTTTCATCAAAAAAAATCATGAACTTATTCAATGATTAATTTAAGTTCATCAATAATTGTCAAATATTTTGATTTTGATTTTAAAAATTTTAGTTAGATTGAAAATAATTCTGTCGGTCGGTTTGTTTACTGTAACACATAAATTCTTTCACGTATCTAGGTGTGTAGCATGAAAACTTTTTTTTTTCGTAATACATTATATACAGTCAATCAACTTTTTCCAATCACTTCTAACTAATATAAAATGGTATTTCGGTAATCAATTTGTAGTGTGATGTTTCCAACGAATTATATATTTTTTTTATAACATTGGTTTCTTGAACAAATCAAATCATAAGTTTAGGTTGCGTTTTTTTTATCGAAATTAATCTGAAACATAAAAACAGGTTACTTTTTTTTTGCTTATGCTTAGTTCAATTTACCTATTGGCTTTAAACTATATTCATTAATTTGATTTTATATTCATCAAAATCAATATGTACTGAAATTGTCTTGCGCATCCAATTCTTATGATGATTTTTTTGTTTTTATCAAAATAATCATACGCCTGCTCCATTCATTTCATTCAAAAAATGGTAGTAGCATCTTGAATCTATGATTCTGTCGCATCCATTTTGTTTGGATTTTTCATTTATAATTTTTTCTACATTTTGGATAGCCAAAAAGTTTTTTCTTCAGTCGTGGTGGTTAAGTCAAACTGAACACAAGGGGCTTCGATTCAAAACAAGCTTGATAAACATTTTGAAATAATTTTTTATGTAAATCTTATCGTCATATATCTTACAACGGACATCTAGTGGCCATGAAAGAAACTTTTTATCGAAAATTTAATTTGTTTCCTTCGATTGTAAAAATTGAAAAAACATTATGTTTATCATTATTGATGATCTGTGATTTGGTATATGGTGGAATCAATGAACGTCACTTGATTAATCATCTTTTAAACAATTATAATCCATTAGAAAGACCAGTAGAAAATGAAAATGATACATTGAATGTTATATTTGGCATAACATTGCAACAGATAATCGAGGTTGATGAAAAAAATCAGATATTAATTTCCAATCTATGGCTAAAATTTGTATGTATTCAATCAATCAATATATTGATAATTTACTATTTAATACTTACCTGATTTTTTTTTCAAAGCAATGGGTTGATATAAATCTCCGTTGGAATCCCGAAGAATATGGTGGCATTGAAACTCTACGTATAATGACCGATCGAATTTGGATACCGGATGTTTTGATGTATAATAGCGCTGATGAAAGATTTGATAGTACATTTCGTACGAATGTAGTAGTCAACTATACTGGAGGATGTTTATATGTACCACCGGGTGTGTTCAAAAGTACCTGTCGTATTGATATTACTTGGTTTCCATTTGATGATCAGCGTTGTGAGCTGAAATTTGGATCTTGGACGTAAGTTTCTTTTTTTAAAAAATTAGTTTTATTATAATTAACATTCCTTGCACATAGGTATGATGGTTTACAAGTAGATCTGTTACCTGAAAATGTCTCGGCTGATACTTCCCCATACCAGGTTAACAGTGAATGGGTACTTGTTGATGTTCCAGCAATTCGAACATCTCAATATTATGAATGCTGTCCAGGTCCATTTGTCGACATCAAATTTATTATTCACATCAAACGCCGTACACTTTATTATGGCTTCAATCTAATCATACCGTGTATAATTTTATCATCCATGACATTGTTAAGCTTTTCATCACCACCGGAATCCGGTGAAAAATTGCATCTCGGTGTGACTATTCTGCTTTCTATGACTGTGTTTCTTGTTCAATTGAGCAAAATTTTACCTGCCACTTCTGATTCTATATCAATCATAGCTTTATATTTTGGATCAATAATGGTGATGGTAGCCGTTTCAGTTGTGATGACCGTCGTTGTGCTAAACTTTCATCATCGTTCATCAGAGACAAAAGAAATGGGACCTAAACTAAGAAAATTTTTGCTTGATTGGTTACCACGTTTGTTGGGAATGGATCGACCAGGAATTAAGCCACCAAAACAATGTAAATTAAAAAAGGTTTCATCTACACAGAAATTAGTGGCCGCATTAGGATGTGCTGTTACTACTCACGATAACAAGAAAAATATTCATAAGCAAGATTATGCTGTGGAAAATCCTGATTTAAATCTTGCACCTGCTAATGAAGTAATGCTTATGATGCAAACAACTGGTCCAAATGGTAATGCTAATGTAACATGCAAATCAATTTCTAAGCTCAATAGTCCACCAACTGCCGTTCCATTAGCATGTGATAATGACCATCAAACCGAAAACGTTAATAATCATTCAGATGCTAGATATATTTTTCATCCACATCTTTATATGGAATCGACAGATGGCACTATCCATGAACATGAATCAAATTGTCTTTTAAGACAACGAACCAATAATTTAGTGGAAAAGTCTGCATCGAATATCCATCATCATAATAATTTGCCTTTGACCAATACGAATAATAGCGATTCAATTGATTTGACCAAAACGGAAGAAATAATTAGCTGTCGTGATGATGTTCGCACTGAAGATGATGGTCCAGTCAATGAAGATTGTCTATTAGACGAAGATCTTGATGTAGAAGTATCGATTACAATGAATGAATCAAGAACTCGGCAAATAAATGATAAAAATGATGGTCTTCATAAAACTAATGGATCTCGTAACGATTTTATGAATAAAAATAATCAAAGTGTAGATAATAATAATAATAATAACGAGAATGATGCTGATGATGATGATGAACCGGATGAAAACCATAATGAAATTGATCCGGAACATTATGCTTTACATCAATATATGAACATGAAACGACGATATAAATTATTAGAAATATTGATCGAAATGCGTTTTATTACTGATCGTTTGCGTGAAGAAGATCAAACTAAAGACCTGATTGCTGAATGGCGTTATGGTGCAACTGTTCTTGATCGTCTTTGTCTTATTTTATTTACATTGTTTACCTTATTATCATTGGCCATATGTCTTATATCGGCTCCTCAGTTGATTGTTTAGTTAAAATGTTATTCTTTTCAAATATTATGTTCATTATATTCTATTGTTTCACATTTTCAATAAACAACAACAACAACAACATTGTATATTTAAAAAATAAGATATTCTAACTTCAAAATAAATAAAAAAATTATTATTCCTTATATCTTGAGTCGACATTTTTTGTTTTTACTGGAATTCTATATAAAAGAGATAATGGCTATTTTGTTTGTTTGTTTTGGCTTTTTGTTTTCTCCGAAAACAAAGTACTTTGGTATTAAGAAAACAATGGTTGGTTGTTTTTGTTTATTTCAAACCACTATCATCCATATTGACAATGCAATATTGGCGAATAAATTGCCTTCTTAAATCTCGATTAAGCGGTTTCTTTACTTTCATTTGACAAGTCAATTGTTGGTTTTAGTTTGGTTTATTTTATTGTTTGAAAAAATAAAATTAAAATTAAAATAGTCTGGAATAATATTTTAAGTTTTATTTATTTTTTTGTGTTTTCTACTTTAATTATAACGTGATAAACATAAGATTGTTAAGCTATATTATTTCAAATTCCGATTAACCCTGTCCATCCATGTTATTGAGAAGTGTTAGCAAACACACACACACACACACTTGAATGACATTTTCAACGTTGAAGAGAAATAACAATTATTTAGGGAACTTTTTTTCCCCTGTTGATTTACACATTCATAAGTTTCACTATTTGTTGATTTTGTTTTTATTTCTTTTTTTTTTTTTTTTTTTTTTTTTTTTTTTTTTTTTTTTTTGTTACAATATAATCACTGTTTTGTTGGTCGAGAATTCTCAAGAATGGAAGAGATAATGGAAATAATTTTTGTTTTGTTGAGCTCAAAAAATTGGTAAGCTTTTGTTGTTTTTTAAGCTGACAATTTTATTTTTTTCATTGGAAAATGAAGAATTTCAAGTTTATAAAAAAATTAATTAAAAATTACAATAAAATTATTTTGTTTTTGTTTGCAAACAATATTTACATTCATTTTTGCGTTTGATTGCGTTTGATTTGATTTTTATTAGTTTCAAGCAAGCATGTGAAAAAGATATTGACTAAAATCAATTTTTTCGATAGTGTTTGTTTGATTTTGTTTGATACAGGATCAAACAGGATAGTGAATATTGAAAATCATTGTCCATGTGATGATATAAATTACAATTTTATTAGTTTTATTTATCTATATTCCATCTATTTTACAATCATCTACACAATTTAACTATTGTAAGGTGTTAGTTTACATGCGTGTTTTTTTTTGTTGTTGTAAAAAGGCAAGTTAAGGGGAAAATTATTCTAAAACATTGTAAAAAATATCCAAAATAAACATTCAAAAAAATCTCGACAGGTGCTGTATATTTGTGATGCGCCAAAAGGTGTAATAAAATATAGTGATAAAATTTTACTTTCAGATTTTCATTCCAAAATCAGATGATACAGAATGATTGAATAAATTTTTGTTTTTTTTACTGCAATAATCATTGGTAATTTCAATTTATTGTCATCGATTCCATCCTATTCGGAAAAAATTTACCTTTTAATCTAAATGTTGGCTTCACTGCCATTAATCATCATAATAGAAGTGTTGTTTTTTTTTTGTCAACTCTTTGCTCATTTGATTACTATCGATATTGATAATATGGCCAGATAGATTGTTTTCTTCATTATAAAAACCTGGTTGTAAGAATTTTACATTGCAATTCATATGTTGCCAAAAAAAAAATTTCAAATATCATTTTAACCAAATTTATCTTAGCAATCAAATAAATTTTATTTTTGCTCTAATTAATTGTCAAGATGAAGGAAGAAAAAAACTGTCAATTAAACAGAATTTTAGAAATTATGGTTTTGTCATTTACGCTTTTTCATTTTCGATGGCGAAAATACCAGACAAAAAAAAGGAGATCAAGTCGTAATTTTTTTTAAAATTATAATATGGCTTAGTGGCAACTCGACAATGAATGAATATTGACAATTTATCAACAATTTTGGAATGGAATCAAACTGACTGTTTAATTTTTTTTCAAATATCATCGTTTTTTTTTTTGGGAAAAAAAATTCCACTTAAGTAGCTTAATTTATGTGAAAACAAAATTGATTCGTTGTGTGAAAATACAGCAACGACAACAATGATAATAACGGATAAACGAAGCTTCGTTTTTTAAAAAAAAAACTTTTAAAATTGCAAAAAAAAAATTTCCATCTAATATTACATTGATGATAAATAAAAAATCATTATGAAATATGCAATATGTGTCAGTGAGTTCGAAAAAAAAGTTATAATTAATCGATTTTTTTCCAAGTATTTCATACGAAATGTAATAAAAAAAACGTTATAAGAAAATTATAAGAAGAATTTTTCGTTACAAATCTTATTTCCGGCGAATTTTTTTTTTTTTGGTTCACAATCAACAGGCATACAATTGATTTGATATTAAGGTTTTTATCCAAACATTACATTTGTTCTGTTTTTTTTCAATTCAAATACATAAATGAATCAAGATATTTATTTATATGATAGAAGATTCTATTTATTGATCAAATTTGAAAAAAATCCATTGAAAAAAATTGGATAATTTCAATAAGCTCGTCAATAAATTCTATTAAAAGTATAGCAGCAGTTTATTTGTGGCCATCATCACCACCAGTTTGATTATTAAATGGATGGGGAAAATATATTTTTGAAACACACTTTAGATTCACTCAGTTTTATTCTTTATTTTTCTGTTCATTTATACTGGGATTTAAAACCACCAACTGTTTCTGACAAATTACGTTTTTTTTCTTTTGGTTATTCGGTAGGGGTGCCGAATAATGGTTTTGTCTTATTTTTCTTGAAAAATTGTTTTTTTTTGGAATTGAATTTGCCTCTCATAATTTTAAACATCATCATCGTCATCTCAGTTCAAAAACAATCAATTATTTTTGGGATATTGTAACTTACTTAAATCACCTATTTTATTTCGAAAATATAGACATATTTTTCCATTTGCACTTCAGTGCAATATGAATATAGAATTTTTTTGTTTTCAAGTTCTAAAGTTCACCACCTACGGCAAAATTGATTATTATATAGATAGATAGATAGAGAGGGTTAAATTGAAACGTTTTTGAATTGCTTTCTCTGCTTTTCATTTTTTTTAATGGTTGCATCAATTAATTGAAACAAACAAACAAACAACAACAAAAGAAATTTCATTTCATTTTTTTTGGGGGAAGGCAGACAAACGAAAATTGCATTTGATCATTTGTCGCTTCTTGAATCTTTTAATCTATATTGAAAACATTTATATTTTATAAATGATAATAATAATTTTGTTGGTTAATAGTCAATAATAATTTCAAAGGGATTTAGTCAACAACAACAACAACAAAATTTTATTTTGTTTTTTAATTATCCTTTCTATTCGATGCTACTATTCAAGTGTTTGAAAATGAAAAATTTCATTCAATATTTTATATCTTTTTATTCGGTTGGCAATTCTCTGTATTCGGTGAAATTTTTTTTCTCCAACTAAATTGTTCATTGTAAATGGAAAAAAGAATAATGCTAATCTCGACATTATTCACGTTTGTTTTGTTTTTGTTTTTTCAGAACAATGTTAATCGTTAATCGACTAGATGATAATGATGATAAACTTTTTCATTTTGTATTATATCAAATCAATTATTTATAATTTTAATTTATATAATGATTATGATGACTTGTGATAATAACTTTGTTGTTGTTGTTGTCCAATATTATAATAATAAACTTGTTTTCTTTCTGTTTTCTCTCTGATAATGATGATGATGAACCATTGTGGTTCTTTCAAATAGACATGATTCTTTGTAACAATGTTTTTTTTAAAAAAAAGAAAGTTTTACAAAAACTTTCATTATCAATGTCTATGTCGATTCGGTTAAAGGTAGATTGATTGACACGATTTTCACCGTCAGAGAAGATTTACCAAAGATTAATTTTATTTTCTCAGAAAAAATTCAACCTGATATCAGAATTTTGGACATCATAAATGTCTGGTTATCCAACGAAATTTTAAAAATTGGCGACCGGAAATTTTTCTTCTTTCTTCTGTTTTCTGTTTTGTTTTTGATATTAACCATTACCATATCGATATATACGCACATCTCATATTACATCATTGTATTATTATTTGATTGAATATTTACAAATAACAAAAATAAGATTTTTTGGTTATTTGAATAACCAAAAAATATTGTTGCTGCTGCTGTGTTTAGCTTGTTGTTATTATTATTATGCTATGGTTTTCACAATTTTACAGCCAAACCAGCACTATTGCTTTGATTTATGAAATTTGATTTTTTTGATGTGAATCATATATGATCGGACAACTAAACAAGAGAGCGAGAGAGAGAGAGAGAGAGAGAGAGAGAGAAAGAGAAAGAAAACCAGATCATACTCCCACAGGGAAATGTGTGTGAAAATTCTATGAATATCACAACCTATAGCTTATAGGCTGATGAATAATAATAATTTTTTTTTGTTGTTGTTGTTGATGCAATTTTTTTCCATAGAATTTGAATAGCTATGAATTTTGGCTTCTTTTGTGACCAATCTATTCATTGAATCAGCTATATTATTGTTGAACAAATTTTCTTTTTCAAATTTTGATTTTATTCATTTGAATTTTTCTAAAAAAAAATAATCAGAATAATGATGATGATAGTGGTAAAATCATTAATTCCCTTGGTTTTGATTGTTGAAAGCAATTCAATCGGTAACATTGTTATAAAAAAAAATTAGAATGATGTGTTGGGTAAAAAGCACCAAGATTGACTTGAATTTATTTATTCATATTGAGATGCTAAGAAACGTGATATGTTTCGTATCAGTTTTTTTTTCACTATCTCTTTCTCTCGTATTCATTGTATATTTTAGAGAGAGAGAGAAAAAAAGTCTATTCAAAATAGCAATGACAGCAGCAGGGCCTTATTATTTTTCATCACCATCACTATCAACAAATTGATATTCGATTACAATAATGAATACTCATTCATACCAATATGAATGTTTTGATAATTGATAGCAATTCGATCTTCATTGACATGATAAATAGTTTGTGACATATATAAAGAGAGATAGAGAATCTAGAATCTGAACGAAACATTTCTTTTCCTATAGGTTGCTTTGGGCGGCATAATCTTCTTTTGCTATAAACAAAAAATAAAATATCCAATCGTCAATCAATCCTTTATCGATTGGAAATTTGTTTGTTTGTTTTTGTTTGCAAAAAAAAAACAAAAATCGCCATCATTATAATCATCATTAAATGTTTTCGGAAAAGAGGATTTTTTTATTTTTGGATAAACCAAAGCAAACATTTTCAGGAAAACTAAGTATTGACGAAGAAGAAGAAGATGGAAAAATAAAATAACGATTCATTTGAAATTTTCAAAACTATAAAAATCAATGTTTACATTGATTTTTTCCCCCCATCCATTTCAATCTACAGAAAGTAAAAAAAAAAGATAAACATGTTTGAAATAGACGGAAACCAAAACCAAAAAGAAAACTAACTTGCATTCAATTCATATCAGAAAAACAAATTATTAATATTTTTACAATAATTTCAACAATTTTTCGGATTGAATTATCACAATTTCCATTTTAAACGTGTTGTTGTTGTTGTTATTATTAATAATAATAACATTATTATTATTATTATTTGTCGGATATCATCATCATCATCATCAAATATTGATAAATAAATATTTTCTTTTACACAGCGTGTGTAGCATGTTTCTTTTATATTTAGGTCTACGATGTAGGTGTTATGATGATATCAAATGAATGAATGTTTTTATGAATAAAAATCCATTCATTCATTCATTGGATGATGATTCAATTTATTTAGATCATTTTTATTAATATCATTTCTCATTTACCATGTCATCATCTTCATCATCATCATCGTAGCAATCATTTTTAACATTGCAACGATTTTGTCTTGTTGCATACATTGTTTGAAAATAAAGAAAGAAAGAAAGAAATCGATAGTTTTTTCCCTCATTCATTTTTTTTTTGCAATCATATTTTCTGTTATAATATCAAAGTTTGGAATAAGTTCAGTTCAAAAAAACGTACAAAACTTAATTTCAAACTATAAAATAGAAGTTAACGGATCAAGTTGTTTTCAAAAAAGATTTATTCATTAATTTAACCTAATAAAATCATTGCTAATATCATTTAATGACCAAAAAGTATTTTATCAATCAAGATAAGATAGTAAACAAGCAAGGTCAGAATCTTTCGATATTCAATCGAAATGTATGTGTTTGTTTCGGTGTTTTGTTGTTGTTGTTGTCAGTATTTAGTTCACATTTTTTTTACATGAAAGAATCAAGCGGGCCAATTTCCCCTTTTTTTCATTCAAGTCTTAAAGAGTCTTGAATATCGTTCGAAACATTTATATGATACAAATATATATGGAGTAAGTGAATCTGCACATCGACCGACAATGTCCATACGTTAATACGTTAACATCATTTTTCCTATTTATTGAAGGCGTGTCTTCAATGAAAAAACCAAACAGTCAATTCACTATGTGCAATCTATGCGCTGTTGCGCTTTATTCTGCCCTTACTGTTCATCACCATTCGAGTATAAAAACCGAATGAAACCGCCAAATTCTAGTCAATATTCACTTTGCAATTTGGTTTGAAAAATTTCGAAAAAAGAAAATTATTCAACTTCCTGTTAACAAACTACTTGAACAACAATCAACCAACCGAAAAATCAAACTTTCAAAATTGTTAAAATTTCAACAAAAAAAAAACTTTTCACTAGTCAACTGTGTACTTCTGTGTGTGTGTAACTAAAATCAGAAGTATTCAATTCAGTTATTTACCATATATCTCATGACAACAAAAAATAATTTTCGAAAAATTTGCTTAAGAATCATCGATTTCATCTGTCGAAAACATCAATTAAATTCCAAAAAAGAATTATGTCATCATCAATTAGCATATTAAACAATAATAACAACATGTTGATTAAAATGTTTTCATTAGTGATGGCTTTGATAATAGTACAGTCATCTATTTGTCAATCATTAGTCATTCCTGATTCAAAAAACCATCAGCTAAAAGCAGATGAAAGACAATATCAAGATTCCAGCAGCAACAACAACAACAACAATGTCCGTCAACAACGATCAACGATAGCTGGTGAACCAATTTGGGATGGTAAATGATCCAAACATCTAATAACATCGATTTTCAACTTTTAAATTATATGTATTTTTTTTCTCTCTGTTTTTTTCTATTCATTTGATAGGAATCACATCTAAATTCACTGGTAAAAGAGTTGTATTAACTAAACGATCGATTGGTGATGATAATAATGCTGCATATGCTGGACATTCAATAATGCGTTTTGGTCGTGCACCACATAATATTATGCATTTTGGTAAAAGATCCAATAATGATGAAGATACAGCTGCAATTGCTAATCAACTTGAAACAATGTCTAATCAAGTTTCTGAAACTGGTTCTCCATTTTCCGATGATTATTTGATGGGTAATAAAGGATCATCATCAGTACGTTACATTCTAGTACCGGTTATGGTATCACCATCATCATCATCATTATCACATTTATATTCATCTCAGCCATTATCATCATCACCAGTGTCTGCTAGCGATGCTCTTAGACATTATTTAACTAAAAAATCAGCCGAAAATCTTGAAACAAGTCGTGGTGTTTTTATGCATTTTGGTTAGAATAATAATTCGGTAATGAAGAATTGATATCCGACAGCACAAACATACTTAACAAACAAACAAACGAAAAAAACATGTTGATCTATTTTGAACATTTCAAGTATTATCGACCAATATTGATCGACCTAATATCATTATTTGTTTTTATTATTCATATAATTGTTATTCAATCAAAAAATTTTTTCCCAAATAATTTCATTGTTTTTTTTTGTGAAGAATAAACCTATTACACCTACACCTACACCCACACTCTTTTCAACATTGATACATACACAAGGAATGAAGATCAAGATGCAAATTCCGGTTCATCGAGAATTCTGTTCCCTTTTTTTTGTTTTTGTTTTTTGTTTTTGCTTTTATTCAAAGTTTAATTTATTAATTTAATATTCGAATATTAAACAACAAAAATTTGATTATATTCGTTAATTTTAATCTGGATGACATTTATAAAAAATCAACAACAACAACAATGATGATGATAATGTTAACAAAACAAATGACGGCCATGACAATGATGATGATGATGATTATTGATAAAACATTGTTTACTATATCTGCATTTGTCTGTTCAGTGCAACAACAAACCATAATTACAATAAATAAAAACAGCCAAAAAAAAGAAGATAAATAAATAAAATCTATTATGCAAAAAATTATTTTCCAATTCTTTATAAATCAAATTCTGTGGCTGTTTTTTTTTGTTTTTTGTTTTTGACGGTAAAAAAACAATGGTGATGATTTGAATTCATATTAAATTAGAACAAAAAAAAATCAATCGAAAAATACATAATGTTTGTTCATTACTTTAGATTGACGTGTGTACGTTTGTTTGTTTGTGTATATTGGAAACAATCACATTTGAGAGATGATTGAGGATTTCCTTCGAGGAATGTCATGACTTTTTCCCGTTGGTGTCAAAATAGCCAGAATCTGATGAATAGAAAGGATACAATATGAACAATGAATTAATGTTTATTTTTTTTTCTTTCGTCCCCAATACAACAATACAATTCGAATGAAAAAGTAATTTTGGAATATAATCAAATAAAATAAAAAAAATGAATCCAAAATCAAACAATATTGACTATTCTCTCTCACTTGTTCTTGAAATATCATCACGAGAATCACATCTTGTAACACACATTTCAAATAGAATGTGTATATTTTTACACCCTTTTGTTTTGTTTTGTTTGGTTAGAATCGATTGCGACATTGATCAAACAACATTGTGATCAATGTGAATGTGAATGAATGTCCTTATGATCTTGTTTTTTTTTAATTTCGTTCAACGAGTATGTTATTTGTTCATAATTGTAGATGAAAATTCATTTTGCGTTATAAATTTTCATTATTAAAACTACGCACACCGTTATAATTGTTTGGAAAAGATAAACCAAAACGTTTGTTTGATTGCTAAATTCTTTATTCAGAAAAAAATTGGTTTTTTTTCTTTGACATTATTATCTCTACGGCAAAAAAAAATAGAAATTTGTTTTTTTCAACAAGCAGAATTTTTTTTCCGAGTTCAATTTGATTATCATATGATTCATTCATTTTGTTCCCTTTTTTTCCTAATGTCGTCATTATTGATTAATTTGATTAGATTTTTTTTGAAAAACAAATTCAAATGAATGAAAGAAAGAACAAATTTAAAACTCAAATTCAAATCATTAGCCTCATGTACTCATTAAAATATACATTTGGAATACAAACACACCAACAGACAAAAAAAACAAACAAACAAATCAGCCAAAAGTAATCAATATTTGATTTGTCTCTGGTTATTTTACACTATCTGTATAGTTCATTATACTGAATTTAATGTGGGTGAATTGAAAATTGAATTTTTTTAAAAAAATCAACGAATATCGTTTTTCTTTTCTTTTTATGGCTATTTTTAACAAAAAAAAATTTTTGTTTCTTCAAATTATTCTTTAATAATAATTATTCTTTTATTGTTTTTTTCTATGATTATCATTTTGGATATTGTCATAGTATTTGTTTTTCCTATGCTAGACATTTTCATTCATTCATTTCATACGTCATTATGTGTGTTTGTGTAATCATGGTGTGTGATTAGTATAATTACTTTTACATTTACGTTTATCGTATATCTGATAGGTGAATAGTTTACCGTTTTTTTTTGTAAGAAAAAAAAACCTAACAAATTTTCTAATAATTGATCCATCCTGGCAACCCAGCAACCAATCAATGGTCATCATCAAACGCATCAAACTAAGGATTTTAAGTATTCCTGGAAAACAAACAGAACCATACCATATTATTTCGTTGTCCTTTTTTTGCCTTCCCTATTAGTTCAACAACAAACAAAGCAACCAGACTAAAAAACAAAACAAAAACAAAAATATTTGAACAACAGAAAAAAGTTTCATTCGATTTTAATTAATGGATGAAAAAAAGAAGCCAGGATATTCCAATCAAATCGAGAACGTTTATTTTTATTTTTTCAACTTTGATCGTAAATTTTATCAGTAGACCAAAATCAGACATTTTTGAACTTTTAATTTTTTTTTGTTTAAGAAGTTTTTTTCTCTTTGACGCAGGTGTTCAGGTATCGTCATACAAATAAGTGTCATATCAAGAAAAAAAAAAACTTGTTTGTTTGATATCCGTTATTTTATGGCCTTGATATTTATCCAAAAAAAAAGTCGATCCAAAGTTGTCAAATTTTGTGAATACCCCCAAGTCAAAATTCATTATTCAAATCCAAAATTGATGAAATTTTTTAGCATTCAAGAAAAGTTGAACATAGCAACTAAAAGATTTATAAAAGGCTAATCCTTCAATACGAGAATCAAATCAATCAATCCTTTTGGACCGCCCGCTTGTTCTCTTCATTCACATTTTATACATTGATTCCATTTGATAACCAAAAAAAACATTTATTTATATGAAATCTGGTTATGAGAAAATGAAAATTTCATCTCATTTGATTACATTAAAGCCAACCAACCATGCATCCAGGCATGCAATCAACCAATTCATTCATTCAATTCAATTCACACTATACATTTTTTTTCGTTACTATGATAAACAATATGTGCTAGATTTTGTTATCGGTTGTTGGCGAATATATTGGCGGCATTTGTGTTTTTCAAGAATTTTCCAAGAATATTGAATTGACCGGAAATTTTTGGGTATTCGTATGTTTGAAAAACAAAAAAAAAACGCATTTTATCATACAATCGATTGAAAAATGTGACTAGAATCATATAGTTTTTTTTCTTCATTTGTTTTCCATATCCCATTTTTAATTTTATGCCTTAGGAAACATATGGATACATGCGAATCATTTCAATTAATCATTGAATTATCATTCTAATTCGTACCATTTGTGTAATGAGTTGAGAAAAAAAAAGTTAAACAAATTTGTTCAATTTGATAGATATTTTCAGCAATAAAAAGGTAAACCATATATAATATTTTCATGGTCGAAATAATAGGAAACTCAATTAATGTCGAAACACGCATATACAGAATCTCAATTTCGTAGAAAAAGATATAATTGAATAAACCTTTATTTAACTAAGATAAAGTCTTTTTTTATGATGATGAAAAAAATAACAAACTTCTATTTAATAATTGTTTGAACTAAACTGTTAGTGACCATAGTGGCCACTTTCATTATATTTCTAAGTTTTTTTTGTTGTTTTTGTTGTTGTTGGATATTCTGAATATTGTCAAGTCATTCATTTATAATTCAATCATTTGGTTTAATCATTGCTTTTGGAAGAATTTTTTTTCACACAACAAAAAAAAACCTATGTTTAATTTGGCGTTATTTTGTTGTTGTTTTTTTTGGTAGGATCATCATGAATAAAAAACAGAATGATGACAAGTAAGATAAAATGTTGAATCTTGAGTAAACAAATATCCGATTGCCGAATTTTGCATGCGAATATTAATTGCAATGTATGACAAACAAAGAAAGAATGTAAAACTCTTATTTGAGCAATTCTTTGAGCCGTTCTTTAGACTAATATTATTCACTTTCAGTTTTCAATTAATCAATTAAATGATATTATTTGATTAAAACAAATGAAGATAATATATTTGAACATAAGCACGTATGTGTCTAAGTGTGTCCAATTAATGATGATCATTTCACACTATATCAATATCATTGAAACATAATTTGTTAATACATTTTTCGACTACAAATGGATTGAATTACAACAGAAAAAAGTAACAATGTTAAAAATATAAAGCCATTGTTTGATGGATTGATAAAGAGAAAAACCAAATAATTTTCATTCTAGCCGCATAACATCCAATAAAGAATACAATTGGAGACTATTGAAACAGACATGTTTTTGTTATATTGATTTTCTAATCATTCAATCGAATTCAAATTATAATAAAATCATTCTCTAAAAACATAAATATTCAAACATTTACACACACACAAAAAAACAAACAGTAATTGTCAATCTTTTTAATCGAAAAAAAAAGAATAATCAGCTAGAAAAAAAATTATCAAACAACTACTGTATTTTACTATTTCATGAATTCATTTCATTGATTTGAATGATTCATCAATGAAAGTGGAACTTTTTTTCTGCTTCATACAAATAAAATCACACATTCCTTACTGAAATTATAGTTTTTCATCAAAAAAAAATATACTTCAGTCATCAATGTGAATGATAGATTTTGAGTGTGAGAGCGAAATTGTCGTTGTTGATTGAATTAAATTGTTTACAGAAAAAAAAGTATGTTGTAAATGCTATTTTTCCTGAATTCCAATCATGAATTTAGCTACAATTCAGCAATGAATAGATGATCGAATTCGTTCGATTAGAATCGATTGATGAAATATCATCTAACCAAGCTGAATGAAGAATTTACATCCATTCATTCAATGAATTGTAAAGCAATAAATTGTCAAGAAAAAAAATGATAGAAAACTAACAACAACCGATTTATGATATTGTATAAGAATGATTAAGAATGAAATTTATTATTATGATTATTATTATTTTCATTGTGTACATCAATGTAATGAGATTATTTTTTTTTTATTCAAAATTTTTTCATGACTTTTTTAATCAATGCTAAACGTTGTTTATGTGCTTCAGTGATCAAACATTTTTTAGGACCACGATTCATTGTCATACCAGTACCACCAGCATTACTACCGGATGCTATACTTCCACTATCGGAAATATGTGAAGTACCAGAGCCTGCGGCTGAATTTTGTTGTTGTTGTTGACCAATGTTAGATGATGAACCACTTCCAACGCCACCACTATAAACACCCACAACTCCATCAACACCAAATCCTGGTATCCACATGTTCCAATTCATATCTAATGCTAATTGAACATCTTTTACATCTAAATGATTTGATTTTCGATGTTTAGCCAGCATACATGCTTGTGAAACTAATGATTCGATAAAATCATCGGCCAACGATAGTAGTACATCTTCAACTTCTTCTTCCAATTGTTCATTCGGATCTACTTGTTCAACCAATTCTTTGAGTCGTTGTTTGTCCAAGGCAACTATAGGAGGAGGTGGTATCGGTGATTTTGATTCATTATTTTGAATATCCTTATTGTTTTGATCTATCGCTTCGTTATCCATTTTTTGTTGACCATTAGTGGTTGCAGTTGAGGATTTGTTTGTAAATGTATTCGTTTGTTGTAACAGTGCAGTTGTTGTCACTGGTGGCATATTTGAAAATGAACTGGCATTGTTTTGATTGGAAAGAATTTCCGTTTTTACCATAACCATCGGTTGTGATTGATTGGGAAGAAATTGTTGTTGTTGCGTGTTCATAATAGGTGCTCCAATCATAGGATTTATCTGTTGTTGTTGTTGCTGCGGTTGTTGATGACCGAAATTACCGCCATGGATCATTGTACCCTGTTGATGAGCAGAAGCAGCTGTGGTACCGGGCGATGGATTTAAAATGAATGTTGTCGCACCACCAGGTTGTTGATGTGTTGATTGTCTCAAACCAGGATTCAAAGATAAACTGATCGGAATGGTAGCATTACTTTGTGCACCATCATTTTGTTGTGATGAAGACATTTTATCAAATTCGATCTTTTAAAATAATTGAAAAGGTAAACAGTAATCGTTAGCAAAAAAAAAATCAATTTAGATAAACTTACAACAATCAGCTGATAACAAATGACAAATGATTTCAACAGAACTCAAACAAAAAAATATGTCAGCGTGTGAATCAGGCCTGATGGAATATATTCGTTATTTATCAATAAACATTGAATTCTTGTCAACAGATGGCGTATTAGGCTGGAACTTTTTTTGATTTTGTTTTTGATTTTGGAATTACAAAAATTATTTTTTGTAATTTACCAAAGATGGCTTATGTTAGGTGAAATATTTTTTTTTGTCATTTTATATCCATTCCATCATTATACTTATATTTAGATGACATTTCGATCGGACATACCGTTATATCAATTTTTTTCTATTAAAACTATGCTTTATATTTCAAAAAAAAAAATTCTGATTTTTATTATTCCTATGGTGATTATGATGATTATGATGATGATGATGACATGCTTTTGCACTTTAAATCCTATATCATTTCCTATAGCTTTTGAGACATTTTTTTTTTTTTTTTTGATATCAATTTTGTTTTATTTTGTAAGTAAAAATAGGTGAAGTCTTTAACATTACAAACACACACAGTAAATTTTCCTTAATGGATGGGATGGAATGGGATGTGATTGTATGTATGTTGAAGAATGAAATTCTTTCCTTTTTTTTCATGTTGCCTAAATGATGTGATCATTCATTATTAGCGTTGACATCAATTGCCATTATATGTGTGCGGTTAACCAACAAACATTTTTCTTTTCTTTTTTTTTGTTTCACTCACTATACTACTCAATGTGTCAAACGATTTTTGACACACAGTACCGACATACCATTGATTTTTCTTTGATTATCATTATATAATGTTGATGATGATGATCGGTATGTATAGTATGTATGGATATTGTCATCATCATTGAATGATATAAAAAAAAAGTCAAGTGAGTCGAACCGGTAAATTATGAATCCATTTACTATTTTCGAATCTAAAACAAGGGTAACTATCATTTTCAATCTAATCAGCGAACATCTAAAATAGAAAATTTTCAAATTTCATTTGATTATGTATTTCGCTTGAATTATCAAATGTCTTCTGGATGAAAATTCAACATTCTCGATCACCTTAACTTGAAAATTTACATAAAACTCAGGATTCTTTTTTCACACAAACATGTATTCTCTTACAGATGAATGCGTTCAGTATGATAAAGTGGTCATGAATTCAGAATAATAAAACTACTTATGATCGAAAAATTGTCGAAAAAATTTGCAATTCAAAAATCAAAAATGTCAAAATTAATCTTATTGAAGTTATCAAAAAGTGTCATTTGGGTTAGAAATCCAAATAAAATGAATGATAACAGATTGAGAAAACTTCTAAAAAAAATCTTCATAGTGATGATCAATAAATCTTTATTTTGACCAATATAATCTGGTGGCCATCCGATCAAGAACAGATTGTGAATTTGCGAATTTAGTTTTTTCTTTTTTTGGATTGATTCTGTACAAATTATTATTACATTTGTTTTGTCCAGTACACCTGAATCGACAATTGATTTCAAATTCTGTGTTTTTTTTAACATCCATGACATTTGATTTCTTTCTTTTCTCGATTGTCGACTAATGACTAATAATATTGGGATCACAGTAGAAAAAACCATTACAACAACAACAACAAAAGTCATTCTATGTCTAATCTCATCAAATATTTGTTTGTTTTATTTTGTTTGAATTTGGAATTTGAAATTTAAATTTTTTTTTTCAATTGTCAAAAAATTTTTTAGGTCTAAATGTTTGTCATTACGGTGGTGTTGTGGCCACATTTGGACGACATTTTTTTTTCGGTAACGGCTGTTAAACGGATGCTCTATTCGAATTCTGAATTCCAAGCCTGAATTTGGTCAACAAAAAAATGGTCATCATCATCATTATGATCATCTTCATCGAACAAATAACAGAATTTAAATTTTAAATGACCAAAAAAAAAACTTTTATTGTTGTTGATTCGAACATTGAAAAAACATTTTTAGATTTTTTTGTTGTTGCTTGGATAAATGATAATAGGAAAAAACCGACATTGATTGAGAACATAAACGATTTTTTTCTTTCTTTTTTGGTTGGACCGCGATATGAACGAATCGACACATTCACTATTTTGGACTATTTTTTTTCCTTCTCGTTTTTTTGGCATATCTTTCTGGTTTGATTCTGATAACACACCAAACCACAATCAGCGAGGCCGCCAGGCTTATTCAATATTCGGTTTGCTTGCTTGCTTGCTTGATTTGCGGTCTTTCATTTTTCAACAGTGTGAACAGAGAGCGGTTATCAAACCAGATAATGATTATTTACCCGACAAGACCCGGGAATTTTGTGTGTTAATGTGTGACCACTATTTTTTTTATTCGTATAGATCCTTACGCACACACACACACACAATAGGTCCAAACCTTAATGATGGTGGACTCATAAAATGGGATCGAAACCAAAAAAAAAAATTTACACTTTTGGCTATGGGATGCTTTGCTTGAATGTTTGATCTTATCAGTCGATGACCATATATAACAGAAGCAGCACAAAAAATATATTCTTTTATCGTTTTCTATATTCAGAATGACGTTGATGATTATGATGATGATGATGATGATGATGATGATGATGACCATGATGGTGTCAATGTTAAATTGAGCAAACAAAGTTCCTTGCTTGATGATACACAGGCTCTCTTTCTTCTTTTTTTTCGGTCATTATTATCGCATACAACCACAAAATACAAAAAATAAAATCCAATGACAAAAGATAGATTTCATTGCATCAGGATTCTATGATGATGATGGTTTTTTCAAATAATTTAAATTTTTTTCTATTTTGATTCGATAGAAATTTGGCCCGTGTATATCCTATTGGGTTAAATCAGCCTCAACGACAACAACAATGATGGCAGGAATTTTATTTTGGTTTTCTCCATCCATGATATACCTTGACAAAACCAGATGTTACCGAAAAATGTTCACAACAATATGTACAACTATTGATCGCACATATATTACATTACATATATCGATTCGATTCATTCGATCATCGATAATATTGGATATTTTTATGAGAATTATGAAAATTAATAAACACAGCAGTTGGTCAGAACTGGAATAATCGGACTTTAATATTATTTTCAATGAAAAGAATCCAGAATGAATGTTCTCTTTGTTGTTCGGGTGATTCTGTTGATTATTAATGTTGTCACATTGTTTTCACATTGATATCAATTGATTCTTTATATTGTTCTCTCTCTCTCTCTCTCTCTCTCTCTCTCTCTCTCTGTTGTTGGTCATCATCATCATAATAAATATATTGTTTCTATACTTACTAATTCAAGACTAATTTTCTTTCAATTGTATCCTCTTGATTCTCTTCTTTATGACAATCTTTTGTCTTTTTTTTTTCTTGTTCAAAAGTCAGAATCAATAGGGGGAAGGAAAAAAAATGAAATTTTTTTCTCATGAATGCATGCCATTCTATGTTTTCAATTGTGATGTCAATAACAGATCGATTCGATTGGTTGGATATCAGACAGAGTAACATGATAATAGTCTAAATAGTCAATTTGTTCCAACCAACCAACCAACAGAAAAAATGAATAGCTCTTTTGAATGATTTTCACTTGTATGTGTGTGCAAGTGTTTTTAGTTACAGAATTTTTTTTTCGGTGAAAAATATTATTAAACATTGGCCCAAACAGACAGATACTGCTGGAGAATTCAATGAACAAGAATCGATTGGCCAAAAAAAAACTCAAGTGTGTCTCTCTCACTCACTTTACTCGATTCCAATCAATGTTGTTTTGTAAACTAAATAACATGCAACTTTTTGACCGATCAGAATATACTTTTCAGCCTTTTAGAACTTAGTTCATTCTTTTGTTGTTGCAGGAGAAGAAAAAAAAAGTCACACTTCTTCATCATCATCATCATCATCACAGCTAGCGAATGTAATTGATTTTTTTTTCTCATTTCATTTTTCAGGCGCCCAATTCTTGTTGTTGTCATTGAATTTGATCGTCAGTTGTTGTTGTTGTTGTTATCAATGTATATTGAATGTGATGACATATACCAAATGAATTGTTGTATATCATCGTTCACAATATATATCAATTTACACTTGATTCAATTCTATTCAATTCGATTCATTTCATTCAAGAAAGTTTTTTCGATTCGTTTCGATTGAATGGAATGACGCGATTACATGACCAACAATTTTTTTTCTTTTCTTTTCTTTTTTTTTGCCCAAAATTGAATATATAAGTTTGTATGTTTGTGTCATGAACATTGTATGAATGTTGTTACGGTGCATTTTTTTTGGTGATCCAAAACAAAATTTGCATATTTGGCCGCCTTCGATTCGTTCATTCAATTATGTTATCAACAACAAAAGTATTTGCATGAAGTAGTT